ATGAGATTCCTGAGCCCTGGCTGCTCTGCCGTGTTGGGCAACTTCTGGGGTGTGAACTTCAGACAGACTCCCCCAGAGCTGAGGGCAGGGAAGTGCTTGTGGTGGCGCAGCACACCAGGGTCAGGGGGACTACGTGAGTTGAAGACAGGGCTGAATGTCCAGTCAAAGTGACCAAGAGATGACTGGGGACGTGCCCAGGGTGGCCGGTCAGAGCCAGGAAGGCTATCTGTGCAGAAAGGGCTCTGTGGCCCAGGGAGAGCAGGGAAGAGTGGAAGTCAGGGGCCCCCTTAGAGCGAATGTGTGGTGTTGGAGGAGCACATGGGTGCCTTGAGGAGAGGCCCAGGCTGAGCACAGCGCCTGGCACACGAGACCTGGACACGCCTCCACAATGAAGGATGGATGGGAAAAAGGTGCCAGCGGGTGTCCCGAAAATAGTTTTCAAGGACTGGGACCAGCCTCAGTGGTGGACTCTGCTACGATGCAGTGCTCTTAGTGGACTCTGCTGTGCTCCACAGGCTGGGGCCACATGGGAGGCCCAGGTTCGTTCTCAGTTCCACCTAAAGGCTGGGCAGTGGGTGTCCCTGTACGCCCAGCAGCTCAGTGAGGATGAGGCAGAGGATCACAAGCTAAAGCTGGCCAGGCACCATAGCAAGACCCTGTCTACAGGAGCTGGGTGTGGTGGCTGGGGCCTGTCAGCCCAGGTGGGAGGCTGAGTAACTTAGTATAAAAAAGGAATGAGTGGCTCTCCCTCTCACCCTGGGAAGCACTAAGTCTGGTGGGCACCATGGAGAATACACTCTTCTGGATGCTTCACTGACACTGAAGCTAAACATGTAAACCCTCAGGAAGGGTAAGGTCCACTCTCTCTCCTCTTAGGAGATCCATTTACCGAACTAGTCTCAGAGTTACCCATGTTTTTAAAAAGCATCAAGAAATAACATAATAGCCAGTATTAGTAACAAGAGTCGGGGCATTTTCTTCTTACTGCCACAATCCCCTGGCAGAGTGATGTCGAAAAAGTTAGCTGTCCAAATCACCTTTTCCTCTCCACCACTTGTTAAGCTTACCTCCCCACCCATTTTTGTTTAAAGGATGATGCTGTGTTTTGTTTTGTTACTTTTTTTTTTTTAATCCTGCAAGAATACTTCTTGGTTGAGCAAGTGCTCAGACTTAGTTTGCATGTAACATCCCTTTAATGGCGCTGGCAGGCGGCATGTGGTTAAGGACGCTGGCCTCACACATGGCCAACCTCAGTTCAAGTCCTAGCACTGGTGGCTTGCTTTCTCACTTACCTTCACTCTGTCCTTCTCTGGTCAAATTAAAAAATAAATAGATAGATAAATAAAGTTAAATAAATTAGTTCTTTTTAAAAAATCCCTTTAGTGCCTAGAGACTAGTCAGTAATTTGGGAAGTCTTCTGAGCTTTTGTAATTTAAAGATGTTTTAAATCTACTTTTCTGGGGCTTAATACTGGTTTTTTTGACCTTTTTGAACTCATGCCCTACCAGCCAGAAAGATTTTGTGGCATCTTCCTTTCTGTAGCTATTGATATTACAAAGCAACAGGTGGGTCTATGTGTTTGTTTTCCCATCACAGAATTATAGTAGTAACTGTTGTTTTTTCAAATTTAGCACTGCTCCTGCCGTTTCCTCTTCCCAGTGTTTGATGTCACCCTACATGAGACACACTGTCTTAAGAATCGCTAACCTTGCTTTTTCTTTTCTTTTGCTTTCCTTAATATCTTCCAGTAATTCATGAAAATGACAAACACAAAGGGCAAGAGGA